CCTCTCCTCTCCTCTCCTCTCCTCTCCTCTCCTCCTGTGGAATTTTTCCCATTGACATGCTAAGGAGCACTGATGGGCTGTTGAGGACTGGCTTGCTGATCAGGGCCATGGTCTTTGGAATTATTTATTATTCGAACAATCCCTTGCTGATCAGAATAAGGCTGTTCATCCTTTCACAAGTGTTGCAATGTGTGCTGATGTGACAAGGACACTGTAATCTTGTCATCCTGCTCTATGTAACTTTAGAGAAGTTTCTCATGAGAACAAGGAAGAACCCTGGCAAAAAGAAACATTAATGTAGAGATCTGTGTACACCAATCAAAATGTGACAGCTCTATTAGCTGCTTGCTGAGTGTATAAAAAGCCATTGTAACAGAATAAACGGAGCTTGCTTTATCAATCACACCGATTGTCTGTTTGTCTCCCCTCAGATGGGGGAGGGAGAGCCTCCCTGGTTTGGTTTTAATTTTTTGGGGAGTTTCTCTCAGAAGGCAGCGGGGAGAAGGAAAGGGGGAACACCTCGGGAATTCACAGCAGGGAAAGGAGGGTGGGGGAGAGTTGCTGGCACTCGCTCATTTTTGGCTCTCAGAGGACGAAGGCAGCTGGAAACCTCCCCCCCACCACCCCCAGCTGCCTCTTCTGGTGTTGGACCCTGCACCCCGGTGGGAATCCTTAAAATTGGAGGGTTTTGAGAAAGCTGCAAAAAGCAGAGCTGTAATTAGAGCTAAGTGGGAGCTGTAAGATTTGTCAGCAGAAAAGTTCTGTGAGATGTAGAAAGCAAAGACAGATAAAACAATGGTCTGTGTATTAAAGTTTAGCTAAAATAACTCCCTAAGCTGCAGAAAAGTATTAGAAGATATTAGGAAGTTCTAAAGTTAATAATGGAGCTCTGTACATTGTATTTCAAGGCTTACAAGCAGGTATTGTATTCCAAATAAACAAGCATTGTTTTAACTGAAGGTACATGTACCTACAGTGGTTGGATAAAATCACTGTCAATATGCTTTTGCTTTGTGTGATTGGTCAAAAAACTTTTAAACTAAGTTGTAACACCAACAAATGATAACTCTACCTCAAACAGAAGATGTTTTTACCAAGCAGAAAGATTCCACAGGCAAACAAGAATGATGGTGTTGCAAGTAGGAAAAAATGGTCTCAGTTTTCTGCTGCAAGAAAACTGAAAAACAAAATCTAGCTTAAACTGTAACATACCAACTTTTTGTGATTGGAGAACAGCAACATGAATGTGGTGATGTGAGCAGTTATGAGAGGATATAGGTAATAGTAAAGGTATTGATTGGTTGTTATGTATTAAAAAAAAAGTTTATAATGCATTGTAACCAGAACTAGAGTGGCTTCAGACAAACCCACAGCTGTGGGCTGGGCTCTGTCACCTCTGGATACAATAAACAGCCCCTCAAGAGCCACCTGGAGTCCTGCACCCCTCATTTCAGCTCTTACACCTGGGCTCCTGCTCTGTGTGGTGTCAGTTCCATTGCTGTTGATGTTTTGTTTGCCTTGTTAGATATATTAGTAAAGAACTGTTATTCCTATCCCCATATCTTTATCTGAGAGCCTCTTAATTTCAAAATTTTAATAATTCAGAGGGAGGGATTTACTTTCTCCAGTATGGAAGGCTCTGCTTTCCCTGTCACATGTGTCTTTTTCAAACTAGGACAAAAATCTGCTCTGAAACCATTGGGATCACCCTGCTCCATCCTCATGGATCCCAAACCCCAAAGGGAAGGCCCTGCTCTCCCTAGCACATCTCACACCTGTCTTTTCCAAACCAGGACAAAAATCTGCTCCAAAACCACTGAGATCACCCTGCTCCATCCCAGAGGATCCCAAACTCTTTCATCCCAAAAATCTGCTCAACAAGAAACTGACACCATCCCCATGAATCCCAAACCCCAAAAATCTGCCCTGAAACCACCGGGACAACCTCACTCCATTCCTGTGGATCCTAAACTCCTTCATCCCCAAAATCTGCTCCAGGAGACACTGGCACCAATCCCACTCCATCCCTGTAGGTCCCAAACCCCAAAAATCTGCT